CGCAGCAGCAGACGCGCGATGGACAGCGAAACGCCGCCGCCGCCGCCGCCGCTGCCAGTGCTGCCCGTCGAGGAGCCTCCGCGCATGGATCCGCCTCAGGCGCCGGCCGTCGACGCAGAGAGCCCGCCGCCGCCACCGCCCGCCGACACGCCGCCACCGCTGCCTGTCCTGTCCCCATCGCCGCCGACCTCCAACGGCGTCGGCAGCTCGCCGGACGTGGCGGGTCATGTCTCGCGCATGGATGATGGCAGCGCGTCGGCTGCTGCCAATTACGACCCGTTGTCGTCGCTGCTGCCGTCGAAGCCGACGCAGAGCCCCGGTCATGCGCCCAAGGTCGATGCCAACCCGCCGACGAACGCGGCGCGCGGCTACATGGGTCTCATTGAGAACTACACCATCATCGACAAGGTCGGGTCGGGCACGTATGGGTACGTGTTCTGAGCTATCGCGTCGTCTCACGCTACGTGCGAACAGGGAAGTGTACAAGTGCCAGCACAAGATCACCAAGGACATTGTAGCGCTCAAGAAGCTGCGCCAAGAAGTCGAGAAGAATGGGGTGTGTGCGTGGCGGCGATGTACCCTCTCTCACGCTGCAGCGCTAGTTTCCGATCACGTCGATCCGCGAGATGCGCATCTTGAAGCAACTCAAGCACCCGAACATTGTCGAGCTCAAGGAGATCGTGTCCAAGCAAGGTACGCGCTGCGTGCTAGCACAGTGCGTGCGTGACATGCGGATAGAGGCGCCCAAGGACGGGAAGAAGCCGCCGCTGTACTTTGCCTTCGAGTACATGGAGCACGACCTCTCGGGGCTCCTCAACCACGAGAAGGTGCCCCGCTTCACGCGCACACAGGTGCAGTGCTACATGCGGCAGCTGCTCACGGGCGTCGCCTTCATGCACGGCCACAAAATTATGCACCGCGACATCAAGGCCTCGAACCTCCTCCTCAACAACGAGGGCATGCTCAAGATCGCCGACTTTGGCCTCTCGCGCTTCTGGAACGAAGTGAACGCCAAGGGCGGGCGGTACACGAACAAGGTCGTGACGCTGTGGTACCGCCCGCCCGAGCTGCTCATGGGCTCGCAGTCGTACGACTACTCGATCGACATTTGGTCGGTCGGCTGCATCTTCGCCGAGCTCCTCCTTGGGCGCGCGCCCATGCAAGGCCGGAACGAGCTCGAGCAGGTGCGCGCTCACTTGATACGCGGATGCGGAGCGAAATGCGTGTAGCTGCAATGCATTTACGGCCTCGTGGGGGTGCCCACGAAGGACAACTGGCCCAACTACGACAAGCTCCCGAACGCCAACGTGTTTACCCCCGACGCCAAGCACGTACACCTGCTCTCCGATCGCTTTAAAGAGTACGACCTCGATTCCGCAATCATAAGGTCTCAGAGCCGTCTAGTCATCCCCCGGCGACTGTCGACCTGCTCGCCAAGATGCTGACGCTGGACCCAGCCAAGCGCATCACAGCGCTCGACGCGCTGGACCACGACTACTTTTGGAAGGTGCCGACCTGCAAGCCCCGCGAGTACGTGGCGCTTGGAAAGACTGTAGCATCGGTTTGACGACTAGGCTGCCCAAGTTTGTCGTCGCCTCGACGCACGAATACCAGAGCAAGAAGCGCCAGCAGGAGGAAGCCAAGTACGACGCGCCGTCCAAGCGCCACCACGGAGCGATGGCAACGGGCCGGTCGTCGTACGCGCAGCCCCCCGCGTCCCGGCGCCTGCACCAACCGCCGCCGCACGACCGTAGTACGTACGCGCGGTCGCACCACGGGCGCCGCCGGTCCAACTCGCGCGAGCGCTAGCCCAAGGATGCGAGTAAATATATAATAAATCATCTTTCTCGTACTTTGGATTCTAGCAGCAGTGGATATAAGTTATTAGACGGCCATGACGGAGCTCAAGCGCAAGAGGTCCTCGACGCTTTGGACCTTGACCATTGTCTCTTCTAGCATCGAGGCCATCTTGCTGTAGGCAGGTGGCAGCGTCTCCAAATCGGAGCCTGTCGACGACGTCGAGACGTAGTGCAGGTCGTGCTCGTCGTCGGCGGTTGGCGTCTCTGGCCGCAGAAACGTGAGCTTGCACGTCACGTTGGTCTTCTTGAGGAACTTGCAGATCGTGCCAAAGGGAACCGTTGCGACGCTGATGCCGTTGACGGCCACGAGCACGTCGCCTGTCCGCAAGGCGTCCACGCCGAGGGCCTCGCTGCCGCCCGTGAAGCGCTTGATGCGCGCGCCAATGTCACTCTCATCGCCCTCGAGCGCCATCCCGAGGCGGTCGCCGGGGGTTCCAGAGCACGCTGTGGGTAGGCGATGCAGCAGGCGCGGACCGCAACGCTGCGCCAAGCTGCGCGAGCTGCCCCGTCAGGTCGCGCAGGTCGCTCGAAATGTCGTCGATCGCATCGTCCGACTCGTGTGCATCCAGCGACGCGAGTGACGCCGAGCTACCAACGTACGACGGCATCGTTCGCTGACTGTCAAACGCGCTGTGCGAGCTCATCGTCGACGCTTGGCTCGGGCTCCGCCGGCTGCGCGCGTAGCTCTTGAGGTTGGTCTCGACCGACTCGGAGCGCGGCAGCGACAAGATGGAGCCACGCCGGTTGAGGCTGCTGCCAATGCTGCTCATGCGAGCGCCGAGGCTGGCACGGCGGTCCGGGAGAGACACTGATTTTTTCAGCACGTTGACGCTGTGCTCGGGCAGGCGGTGCTTTCGTGCGAGCCCGGCCGGGAAGTAGCCGTCGCCGCTCTTGACAAAGACGGCGTCCGGGCACGCCTGCACGAGCACGTTGAGATGCAGCGCTGGCAGCTTGTTGGAGATGGCCACGTGGAGCGGGAGCATGCCCGAGAGGTTCTTGGTCTCGCACGCTTCGGGAAAGACCTTGATGAGCAGCTCGAGGATGCCAAGGGGCACCGCGGGCTCGGTCACCGCCCAGTGCAGCGGCAGCATGCCAAACTCGTCGGCCACCATGATTGAGTGCGGGAGGTTCTCAGCGAGGTCGGCGAGCTCGGCCCAGTCGCCCTCCTCGGCGCGCTGCAGTGCCAGTTGGTGCATCGCGATGTGGGCACGGAGAGGCAATCTCGGAAATGGAAAATGCTGAGAAAAGCGCGAATTGGGTGCAAATTTTAACGCATCCGGATAGTAAGCCACCGGATACAGCATGCGTTTTCAAGGAATATTCGTTCTCGAGGGTTGAGAGCCTGCTGCGCGGTCGTCCCTGAAGCCTTCATGCCTTCCAAGTACGGCCTTCGAGTGCGTTGTGCATCAGACTCGAAACGAAGCGCAAAATGGGCCGAGTCAGGTGTCAGTCCGACCAAGGAACGTGATAATATTTGACGGCCGTGGTGAATACGTACCACGCCCACTGTACGAGAGTTGACGCCGATGTCTAGGCCTAGGACAGGCGCACTGTAGCTCGGTAGATGACCGTGCTGGAAGCTGCCGGCAAGGCGTCAAGATACTAGAGTCGTTGCATCATCGCAGTCACCAGTGCGATCGGAATCAGGATTGGGACACGGTGGTATGCGTTTATAGAGGTGATTGCGGCGAATCATCCGGATAGAAGTGATGGGCGTGCCACCATCTGCAGCGAATATGTCGGGAGTGAGTCACGAAGGGTACCGCGGGCTTTCTTTGACGAGCAGCACAGCGACGCAGCTCCTTTGGGGACGACTGCGGCGCTGTCGCACGTATTCCTACGGCTTCATCGCGTCGGCTCAGCGCGAGTAGCTTCTTGAGTAAGGCAGTCGAGCCTGTGGTCAGCAAATTGAACGGTCGTCAGGCCTCAAGAAGTGCAGGTCGCGCCACCTGACGCACGATTGGCCACTCTCAAGAGGGTGACATGCACGATCCTTCGCGCGCCAAAAAAGAAGCCACCGAATTCCTCGCCCAACCACAAACATCAATGGTCCAGGTCGAGCAAGGGACAAGGGAAAACATATAGTATCTTGGACGATGGCTCGGAGGACATCAACATGAAGATGAACTGTACTGGTATAGGCAACTTGATGGTCGTCGGAGCCACTCTACTGCGCGAAGGCGCGGAGACGCTCGTCGATCCATTGCATGTGCGCGTACTCGAGCTTCTTGCCACTGGCTTCGCGCACATAGAAGACGAGGATCGCCGCGGCGCTACAGCACCATCAGTTCACGCACACATAAGAAATGAGAGATCCGCACCGGCCGAGGATGATGGTGGCGAGAATGACACCGAACATGGCGTCGAGGGACATTTGGAGCATGCCGCTCTGCACGAGCATCTGCAGCTGCATCGGCGACGACGTGCTTGCGATGATGAGCGACCGGGACATGAGGGCGGGGGCGCTGCCATAGTAGCACCAGTACCAGAAGCTCCACATGTCGCCGTACGAGACGCAGATGCCGCTGAAGAGCAACCCGGACCCGAGGAGGAGGAAGACGACGCCGTAAACGGGCGGCATGCTGTTGGAGAGCGCGCAGGCAAAGCAGATGAGCGACTGCCACGCCGACGTGCCAAGGATGAAGATGAGGTAGAGCGTAAAGATGGAGCGGACCGAGAGGTCGTCCCACGAGTGGCCAATGAGCGCGACGCTGAGGAGCAGGACCGAGTTCATGACGGCTTTCGGCGTCTCGATCAAGAAGAGCGCGTAAACGTACGAGTAGAAGCTGATCGCGTTCGACTTGCGCTCCATCTGCGGCGCCAAAATGAACGAAACGGCGAAGAAGACACGTGCCTACCTCGAGGAGCGGCCGCTCGATGAAGTACTCTGGGATGATCTCGAGGTACTCGAGCACCATCCCGTACGCTCCTATTGCCACGTCATATACGTCATAAATATCGAAGGGTCGTACCGATCGTGAACATGAGCATCACGTTCTGGTACAAGACGCCGTAGTCGCGCAGCACGAGCTTGTCCGTCGCCGAGATCGTCGGGTTCTGCATCAGCTGCGTCATGGGCGACTGCAACAACACAGTCCAATGAGCTGTATGCAGGAGGGCGAAGAAGCCGTACGTAAGAGAAGGCCGTCGTGATGATGATCGCGACCAATAGCGTCTACGAGCATCGACTCGTCGCTCTTCGGTGGCGTACAGCGCGGCTTACCTGGAGATTGCGGAGGAGGACGTCGATGCGCTTGGTGTACACGCGGCTGTACCGGCGCTCAAAGCACGTCCACGTCTGGACGTGGAGCCACGACTGCTTGGGCGTCTTGTAGCTCGTGTTGTCGTCGTCGCGACCGTACCGAGCGAGGGACCGCATCATTTGCTGGTACAAGTCGGAGGCCTGCCACTGCGCCAGAAACGGCGACGCTACATGCTCGATACGTTGCGCGCATGTGGACGATGTGTGGAGAGTACCAGAGTTGGCCACAAGCTCCACCTGCTGCGTCGCCTCGCGCTCCGGGTCGAGCCCCAGCGCGTCAATGATAAAGTCGGCAGGGTTGTCGTACGACTCGGGGCGACGCGGCAGCGTCGGAATGCCACTTAGATGGCCGACGACTTCGGTCTGCGGGCCGCAGTAGATGGCGCACCCCCCTTTCTCCATGAGCAGCACCTAGGTTCGATGGTGTCGCACTGCAAGAAACTATTGCCGTCGTACGTCGTCGAAGAGCTGGAAGATCTCGGCCCGTGGCTGGTGGATCGTCGAGATGACCGTGAGTCCTTGCGTCGACGCGAGCTGCGCGAGCATTTGCACGAGGAGGAGCGACGACGTGGCGTCGAGGCCGCTCGTGGGCTCGTCCAGCAGCAGCACCGACGGCAGCCGCAGAAGCTCCGTCGCGATCGAGAGGCGGCGCTTCTGGCCGCCCGAGATGCCTTTGATGCCGCTGACGAGGCCTCCAATCGGTGTGTTGGCGGCGTCGTAGAGCTGGACGATCTGGAGCACCGTGTGGACGCGGCTGATCTTCTCGCGCAGGCTGAGCGTGTCGGGAAGGCGCAAGTAGGCGGAGAAGAGAAGGCTCTCACGCACCGTGAGCGTCTACAAACGCTTGAGACGCGTTTGGAAGGTCCTGCAGTAGTACCTCGATGAAGGTGTCGGTCTGCTCCACGTAGCCTTGCGACGACATGAAGGTGGCAAAGTCCTTGGGCGCGACGCGGGCGTTGTTGAGGAGGCGATGGCCATAGTACCGCCCCGAGTAGACGCGGCCGCTCAGGAGGTTGAGGAGCGTCGTCTTGCCCGAGCCCGACGCGCCCTACGCGCATCATAAGACGCAGGCGCGAGCCGCACGAGGCGCACCATGATGGCCGTGAGTCGCTGCGGCCGGAACGTGCCCGAGACGTCGCGCAAGATCTGCTTCTCCGATCTACGCCGCGCCGTCGATACCTTTCGCTAGAATGAGATGCATACCCGGCGCCGTCGGCGGCAAAGTACGAGAGGTACGCGAACGAGAGCGTGTACGCGGGCAGCGGCCCCGTCGCGTCCAAGGCCAGCGCCTTGTGCTCCGTCTCTTGCTCTATGCACGGCTGACGGGCTAGTATGCGACGGTATTGATCGTACCGAGAAGGGCAATCTCGGCGCGGACGCAGACGTGGAAGCGGTGGCTGCGGTGGAAGGCGTAGACCGAGAAGAGGCAGATGACGAGCACGACAACGAACGAGACCGCGAGGAGCCCGTCGCTGAACTGCGTCTCGACGCCCGCGAGCGCCGACGTCGCGTCTTTAAACACGAGGAGCGCCTGGTCGACGTGGCAGTTGGCGAGCGCCAGCGCGTTCGCGAGCTGGTCCATGTCGTCGTCTCTTGGATCGTTTTTCCAACTGACGCCTCTTTGGTCCAGGCGAAACGACGCGATCTAAGATCTGAGGTCACGTGAACCCATCTCGATTTCGAAGGATCTGCTGCACGCAACCGCGGTGTTCTTCCAGTGGCTACGCTACATCATGGCCCTCCATGCAGCGCTGCCTGGTTGCCGGCTCGGAAGATGGAGTGCGGACAAGTGGAGCATACCAAAAGGAAGAAAGTGAGGAAATAAAAGTAATCTAATAGGGTTTTAGTATGGGCGAGCCCGACACTAGAGCAACACTACGCAGATTGCATTTACTTCTTCTTGCCGCCCTTGCCGGCAGCCTCCTTCTTGACGACGCCGTGGATGACACCGACGGCGACCGTCTGGCGCATATCACGGACGGCGAAACGCCGAGGGGCGGGTACTCCTGGAACGACTCGACCGTCATGGGCTTC